ATAACAGTGAATAATATCAATAACTATATTCGAATTGTGTTTTATTATTACATTTGAATGCTTGATCAAAAATGACAATAAATGCCATGAATTCAATGCTATTATTACATATTAGTTAAGTATTTTATTATACTTGTGTAAAAAATGTAATTCTGTAAATATATTCCAAATATATTCATTTTTATATGCTGCATAAAACGGGAATATAATTTAAAAGATATGAACTATAAATTCGAGCAAATAGATTGCGCGCTTTGAACACGACGCGGCTGAGTAGTTAGAAATTGAAAACTCATGTGCAACTTGCAATTATTTTTCGAGAGAGAAAGAATTGTAATAATAATTAAATCCAATTATTCTTTATAGAATATAAATAATGCCCCGAAACACACAGATTTTAGAACATTTTTATATAGTTTATGGTAGAAGGAAATTGAAAGGAAACTTAATAAATACCCAACTTTTTCAAACTTTCAAATAGCTATTCAATAACATTTGATTATATGTTATATGATTACTTCTCTCATGTCTTTATTTTATGCAATTTGTTATTCTCCAGATGGTTTCTTAGATTCTTATAAATAATAAAACTTTGAACATATTGTTGAGAACGACGACTATGGTACTTAGAGAACATCGTTTTGTTCGTCCTGAATTATGACTTTTATGAAAGTCGAGTGTGTTCGCTTTTCTTTTTTTTTGGTTGCAGTTCATATTACCTCATGCGCTTGAGTTCTTTTTTATATATATAATAAAGAGGGTGCGGATATTTTAAAATTATTGCATGAGTTGAGTACATCATTAAGTATGGTAAGAATAGTTTTCTCAAAGGGAACTCTATGTTTTTACCAGAAAATTTGATTTTTTAGTTGTGTTTTTTATAATTAACAACCAAGAATACTTTTCTGCCCAAGCTTTCATCTAAGAAAAGTGCTCCCAGCTGTTAAGATCCGATAAGAAACTTAGTTAATGCAGGTGTACGATATATGTATTTTTGATTTTTATCAGGAGCTGATTCTTAATGCTGACTGCTACGTTGCTGATTTTTAAAATGATAAATACAGAATGTTAAAATATGTGTTTCATATCTATTAAATTCATCCCTCTCTACCATCATCTCACGATTAAAGAAGTTCTTTCAGAAAAGAGCGGCATTATGATTATTTTGTTAAAAAAGTTGCACTGGATGAGATAATGTATAACATGAATTTCCTATTACACAGAGGAAAGTTTTCACTGAAAACTCATTCATGTCACTATGTATTCCCTGACAGCTATTGTTGGATCCCATGTACACAGTCACGTCATTATTGAATAATGTTTATGGGTGCGTATGATGTTTTCCTCATTATCATACTATGTCGTATCACCGACTCCTATGTGCCAGTAATGTGTAGTTAATTTGCATCTCATTATATCTAAATTGCGTCTAAACGATATGAGTTGTGTTTGATCCTCTGTAAATTACGAGCTTAGGTAAATTAGAGAAATAAGCGCCGGCCGCTTGTTTAATATCCGGGCTAGGATGGCCACTAACGGCTTTGATGTATGAAAACGACATTTCTGTCGCTTTGGTGCGGAAGAGATAAATTGGAAACTATTAGTTTGATCTTCCTAGAGGTAATTTTGACATCAATAGTTGTATTTATATAAAATAAATTCACCGATACAAACGAATTGCTTTTTTGAATTAATATATTAGCAATTATTACAGAAAATTTCATGGATGTTTCAAATAACATAAAGAATTTTTCTGTAAAATTTGAGTTATTTTGCATCATTATTAATATTTTAACATTATTATATTATTTCTGTGTACACAATTTAAATCAAACCACGAATTTCCGTTTTAAAAAAATCTTTTGATGATGCTTTTACTTTTGTTTCATGATTTTAACTTTCTTCCTCTTTATTTAGAGAATATTTCACAATTATTAACATTCATATTTAATACAATAATTCATTACTATAGTATTTCTCTTAGCGCTATTGAAGCATTCAATTTTGTTCTTGCTGTAAATTTGCTTGGATTGTTGCAAACTCAACTCTGAAACTAGGAACTAGAGACATATGACAACATATAACAAGGTTTCCAATTTGTAGACTGCTTTAAATTAGCATGGACCTGCAGATATGTTTACGTTTAAAATTAATCATGTTAGTGATAGTAAATATTTTGCATAAACTATATAAACGAATTTGTATCTATGAGTCGAAATACAGTCAGTGGTGCAACTGATGCCGGATTGAAATTTATTTTCACAATTAGTTCTTTTTTGTAGATAATGGATATGAATAATATGGATCAAATTTGTGGGAAATAAATTTTAAATGATTTGAAGCTCATGAAATATATAAGCTTAATTCAATTAAATCTAAAAATTTTCAATTCGTACTATGTTTGACGTGCATTATAAAAAAAATGTCCTACTACATACAACATTTTTATTGCAATGCGCATTGCACTTAGAGCTATTTCTATTTTTTTTTATTTTGATTCATCCGAATAAATTTTCGTGAGAATGGTAATTTATTTTATAAATGAACGATATTTATCAAATATTTTGTATTACTTTTTATAATATTTTTAATGGTTCGAAAATGTTCAATGTTCAATGGTTCGTCATATGTCGCCATGGGTGCCCTTATGTATACACTTGGTATTTGCATTGCATACTGCGAACTTTGACCTATCAAATTCAAATGTGTGATATATATCTTCCTCAAACCTTTAAACTAGAATTGCTATCAAATGTCATTACCTCTAGAATTTGTATTTTGTAGTCGATTGCGATCCGTGTTTTCACAATGAACGGGCAGTACGTGCGGACTTAGTTTTGCATAGCATTGTTATCTTCTTCCCTAGCTGCCGACTCTAATGAATGCATTCGTGCAAATATGAATGCTAGCTAGCAACGACTCTTACTGTCCATTCTCTAACAGACTGTTGTATTTTAACGCGAAACGAACGGTTTTACATGTGTAAACTTGAAGCTGCACCGAGCTTCAACTTCTGCATCCACTTAACGTATTCATATCGAACGTGCTTTATTGTAGAAGTGGCCAACTTTGTTGTTCATGCGAATATATATGCGCTTGTAAGTACATAATTTTATTTTAAAATCTTGGTTGTACACCGAACTAAATTTTATGAATAGAGCGCCTTATCATGTCGTTTGATGACATTACGTTCTCGTATTTTTGCTGTTTGCAGTTTATTGCAGAGAAAAGCTGGAGAAATAAAGTCCTGCTAGAAGTGCATGATGAAAGAAAGATTGCTTGGCGTTTAATTATATCTTAAATTTTTAATTAAATTTGAATTTATATTTGCAAAAGCAATTAGTTGCTTTAGGTACGTAATTTATAAAAGTATTTTTCATAAAACTATTAGTTCACATTAAAATAATAAGCAAATAATTTATATTATACATTACAGAAGTATTATGAAAATCAGAATTATTATGAATTTATCACAATCATCATTCTTATCATAAGCATATTGTATAGCATGTGCTATAACAGTTTCAATATAATTTATGTTTTTCGTGCAATTTTATCCCACTAAATATGTATAAGATGTTATTTCCAATTACGATTATTTTTACGTAAAAAAAATCATAAATTTGAAATAGGCAATAGAAGAAAATATTTCTATAATTTCAATGACAAACATTTTTACAGTGGTATTACTTTCTGCAATTAATAAAGCATTGCAACATTTTCCAAACGTGCCTTGGATAATCTGACCAAAATAATAATAATCCTTTTGCGTTAATAGATTCAAAATTATCTCAAACGCATAAAATAATTTACATGATCCGACTTACCCCGTTATTAACCAACCCCTTTATAATCGCTTTCGTTTAATACTTAATTCTATAGGGCACGTGTTATTTCTCTGTACACCTACGCCAGATGAGTCTCGAATGATTGTCATTTCTGAAACACCGCGTCAAATTTTAAAACAACCCCGTTCGAAATTTAATTCTAGTCATTCGCAATATTCGTCCATTTAGATTTTGTGATATAAACGTGTGTGCTGCGTGAATTATTCTAAAAAGCTATTGTGCTTCGATATACAAAAGGAAACAATCAATGGGCCGTAATGAATTTACGTTCTGAAGTAAAATCAGACAAATTCAAATAAATCACGAACAATGAAAGGCTTCGTTAATCGATCGAAGTGTTTCAAAATAACCATTGTTGGGCGATTGATTGATAAAGAATTAGGATAAACAGAATAAATGAAATATTTAAAGAGCGTAGCGCCCATATAAAGGATGAAAGAGCGTTGAAATCGTTTTTATTTGTATAATAAGTACAAATACTATTACATACAAGTATGCCTGAGCATAGTCATATATATACCTACGCAGTCGATTGCTTTATTCATATTTTATCTCTCGAAGTAATTATAATTTATACCGCAGATAATGAGAACTTGGAAACCTTTGAAGCCTTTGATAATTAATGATTTTACATATATATGTATGTATATATATATATATATATATATATATATATGATAGAAAATATAATAAGTTTATAATAAATAATATCCTTAATGTTTATATATTTACATTATATTAGATATTTTCAATAATTGTTTATTGTTGTTGTTGCTTATTAGCCTGTTTTAAAATAAGACTGAAAAATTATGGCTGGAAAACAAGGTAGTTTTATTTTTATTTTTTATTTTTATTTATTTTAATGGATGCTTGAACGACCTTTTTTTATAAATTCACCATCCAAAATATTACTAGATTCTACAAATTACAGATAATTTTAATATTATACTTTATATATGTCTATTAACGTACACTATTTATTAATTATTTTATATCTGTTATTTCCTTTTTCACTCGCAAATTCCTAAATTAATACGTATTTTGCGTCGGAACGGCAGCATCCGAGCGGAATGCTTAGTCGAATTATTAGTGATGTATAAATTTTTTAATTACATAATTAATGTATGAATAAATCAATATATTATCACATACCGTTCTGTTTCCCAAATTCTTGACCTTGCACAGTAGACTTATAGGCTGACCCACGAGTCCCGTATAATTCTGCGGCACACTGGTGTCGAAGTACGGCCCTGTTCCAGGCGTTGGCCGATCTTGTAGAAACTCCATTTGGAATTTTCTCGAACACTTTACGAACGGGCCTGGAATAATCATTGGGACGTTTAATTATGCATCATGTGTACTTCGGATCGGGGTCTGTAATCTTCCGTTGCCTGAGTTGATGGATGAATGGAAGATTAAAGACCGCTAAGCGAAAGATAGAGAAGCGTGGAATTTAAATAATTTCGCAAAAAGTTTTGGAATTTTGAGCTGTCGTTTTTTTTTTGATATGTTTTGGGATATAGAATGATTGACGTGTAAATACTTCTCTTGCTCGCTCGGTCATCATGTGGTGAATATACACTTTTTATCTAATTTAGCACCTAGCATGAAGGCAGAAGAATAATGTCTAAAATATTTCACAAAAATTTAATATGATAAATTTATATTTAAAACATGTCTACTTGTGAATGAAGAAAATGCCTGATATGAAGACTCTATATATATATTTGAGACTATATTCCAATTCTTATTGAATTAAAAATAACATAATATATTCATAATCCAGACAGTGCCATAAGAGGCCAGATAGTGACATAATCTTGTAATACAACCACAAATAGTAATATCAATAATTTTCGCATCAAAATGCATATTACGATTTTGTACTAAAATATAACTGTTGAATAGTAATAATTTGAATGAATCCATTAATATATTCCGTAGAGCTGCCCAGCTTGACATTTGATTATGAAGTAGATTACATTGTTTATGACAACCATGAAGGTTAGATATGAACACATATAATATGGTCATGATTTATAAATGTGTACATATGTGATGTGGATATCAAAGTGGATCGGATGAAATTATGTAAATGTTTCCCAGAGGAACCAACAGGGATGCTGTTCGTAATATTTTAGGAAGTGAAGAATGGTGTTTTGTTTTGAAATTGACTTCCTGATCATGGTGGAAACGTATAGAAGCAATACCTATGAAATCCCAATTTTTATTGACTCTAATATATTGTCTGTTCACATTTGTTGAATGAGTTTGCCTGTGACATCGTGGTAAAAGTTTAATTTTGCAATCACAGATTACATGTTTTATTTCTGTCCCCGGCAGCTTAAAATCAAGCACTACTTTATGAATTTAAATATGAAAACATGATTTTAAGTAAAAAAAGACTTATATATTTTTATGTGTGTGTTATATTTTTGGTTCACTACAAATAGTATTGACAATAATAATTGAGGTACAATAAATAATACAAATAATTCAAAAAATATAATTTATTATAATACTATAGTGTTAGAGAATTTAAAATTTATTTACAATTTAACTGTTTTTTTACTTTTTTATCTACTTCTAAACCTATGACAAACTCAGTAGGTACATATTAAAGAATAAATTAATCCTGAATATATCGCCAATAATTGTGTTTTGTATTTTTTGTTTGAATCGTTAGGCACATTAATCACGTCAAGGTGAAATATGCCAATACACAAAAAATACTTTTATATTTTGAAATAGAAAACTCCGTAAGCTGTACCTTGTTTCAATTCCTCTTTCTCTTACATAAAATTATAAATTGAATGTTTAAAATTTATTAGACGTAATTATAACTGTCACAAAGAAACAGAAAGCTTTGGTGTTTAAGCATGATTAATGTTTTGATGAACGAAATGCTGACAACTCGAGATCGTCCGACATTTTTTAATACAATTGTTATTTTGTTTTCTGGAGTAGAGATATTTATTATGTTTAATTTATCAGTATTTTCTATCACCCTTTTAACAGCAGAATGCCACGTCGCGAGTAATCGGTACAAGAATTTAATAAAGGCTGTCTTGTAAACGTCGGTAGATATCGGTATATGGGGCTATATTATATATATATATATATATATATATATATATATATATATATTTCTCGATGAAGCGTGAAAATATATACAGAAATACAGAAATCATAAAATAAGGTTATTTGAAGGCGTGTTATATTGTTATGTTAAGTCATAAAATAAACGATGTACTTACCTTTGCCTTTTGATTCGGTTCGGGTATTGCGGTACAAATATGGAATAACATAAATTCACGATTTTATTGTCCATAATGCCACCTTCATGTTTTTGAATTTTCATTAAAGTATAATATTATTTATTTGTTTTCAATTTCATTTAGGACCTTTAGGGCTATTTCTTATAATATTCGAGAAATAAGAATATTCGATAAAACAGGAAGGAGGCTATCCAGGTTTGCTGAATTGAGAAAATATAAAAGTATTAGAGTTTATATTAATTTTGGTTTATATACTACTTCACGAGCACATAATAATTTACGAGTAGAAAAAAGTGTATGAGTAGGAAATAGTGTACGAGTACATAATAGTGCAAAAAGACGTAATGGGGTATGAGAATGCAATAGGGTTCTGGTTCATAATAATGCATTAAACTTTAGAAGTTTACAATTGTACACTATGTACTTGTACATAATATTACTCGAGTACATAATATGTCAGCATGTAATTTATAGTGCATGAAAACTCAATAAAATATATGAGAGCGTACAATTTAACAAAAGAGTTAATCACTTTAAATTATGGTTTTCATATATAAACAATCAATTAAAATTTTGGAATTAAATAGCAAAAGTATAAACTTTTAAAGTTCTAGATAAACTATAATCAACTTCTTTAGTGAATTATTAAAATAACAATTTGTGTATACAATTTCTCTAAATATTTGCATGCTAATACAAGGAATTTAAGTAGAGTTTAATTACTAATTATACATGAAACTACAACTTTGCATCCTTCAGACTTTAAATTACTTTTGGTTTGAAATACAATACTATTATCAAAAGCAATACCAAGTTTAAAATATGATTTTTAGACTAAGTTTGTTCTTGGATGACACGTTTTCCAGTGAAATATTACCTATATATTGGAAAAGATACTATGGATCATATTATAAGTTTGTAACTAAGTATTTGTTTGAAGAATAACTTATGTTAGTAAGCGCGTAAAGTTTAGTACTCAGGGAACGGTGTTTGGCATGCAAAGAATTACAATGACGGTGTGGAACATCGTGTGAATTTTTTAGAAATGATATATAGGATCGTCATTATTTGAATATCATAAAAAATGTATTATTTTTTACCAGGAATTATATTTATTATAGACAAAAGTCATTCACTTAAACTTTAAAATACTTATAAGCATTAAACCAATAATGAAATTTTTAATGATCATTTTTAAAGTAATAAACATTATGTTAGTTTACGATACAATTTTTACAATTGTTTGAAGAGTTTATAATTTTTTTTCATTATAAAATGTCTGATTGAATATTGTAATTGTGAATCAAATAATGAGAGTTTTGATATAATTTTGGGAAATAACACAGATCCCATTACTTTAATAATTCTGTTCTATAATATAATATTCACTTATTTAATTATAATTATTAATTATTACTAATTATTAATTTACAATAATTTTAATAAATAGTAAGTATAATAGTTTTATGTACATATATATGAATTAAAAATTAATAGACCGATTCTGCTTCACAGCAGGTTATGGAGTGAAGAACTTTCCATACTCAATATTGACAAAAGCCATGTGATTGTTATGCAGTCAGGCGTTATTGTTCGGTTTTCAGATCGAAAACCTAATCTAGAAACCGCACAAATGTCAGAAAAAGATAATTTAGGTATCAGGGTCTTTCTGACTCAGCTTCATAACGTACAAGTGACATTGCACTTTATGTGTAAAACGCATGAATGCACAGCAAATACATGACATTTGGACTGTATTGAGTATGATTCGTTAGCATAATGTAAGGAAGTTCGAACGTAACATGCCCTTGCCATAACATTGGCACATAAATATATCATATACATGTACTGTATCAATAATATGTTTTATATTTCACATTTACTATTGCATTTATATTTAAATTAGAAATTTAAGCATTATATAACAACAGCTGAACTAGATTCGACTTTGTAGAAAATGAATGTTGATTTAAATATCTCATCAGAATAATAATACTCTATTCTTGCTTTAGAATTTGCATATTATTAAAATGTTCATTTCCATTAATGTAGAAATTCCGTCATATCGATGTGTAGCCGCAGCATCCGGAAATTCAAAGTATTCTACTATGCACGAAAACCGATTGTTGGCAAAGTTATCATAACGAAATGGAAGCACTAATTGCAACTTGTAATAACTATTCTTCAATACGTTTTGATCATCTCGCATAAATGAAAATTTTTAATTGGCTTCTGAAACGTTTGTGTAATCCATGGAAAGTATTGCATTAAGTCTTATTTATAGGAAATACGTATATCTTTTGGAACGTAAAAATAAAACTAATATTTGTCTATATATTATTATTATTATTTAATACAATCCGTAATTTTTGAGTTTTAATAATTGCGTATGTAATTTATCCCGAGAGCTACGTTTCGAATTGAAATCTAATTCGTAAAATTGAACTCTAAGAAGTAGGTAATTGTGTTCAGAAACCTGACATACTTATTTTTTTTTTTAAAAGTTGTGAATCAGAATCTGTGAACTATTTCTCTGAAAAGTTACATATAAATATATCTATAGGACAGTATAAAGCATCCTGTTATCTTTGAAAGAAGGTTATGGCATTATTCCAAATTCTGTCACGCTAATAGTGCTGACAAAACCCCAAATACACGTAACTTAATTTTTGTGGTGAAATATACTGTTAGTAAATAGGTCATTAAATAAAAATAATTTTATTAGATGGTTTGTGCTGAATTTAATCAATGATGTATGAGGTACCTAAGAGAATACAATGTTTTATATATCAAAGAAAAGCCTAAATTCATTTGAGGAAACTCAATTAAATGTCAACCGTTACGAAATTTCTTGATGTGTAATTGATTATGAATTATCACAAATTGTTTTCTACGATAAAGAAAACTGATCACTTTTACCTTTCTATGGTATTTTATGTAAATCAAATTAATTCTTTTGTTTAAAATATACAACATGGATTTTGTTAGTACAATCGCTAGATCTCAAACATTATAGTTAGCATTAATATTCAATTAAACTTCAGACCCTTGTCA